AGAACATGAACATCTACATCTGTAACTACAGAGCATGAACATCTCCATCTGTAACTACAGAGCATGAACATCTCCATCTGTAACTACAGAGCATGATGACCTTCATCTGTAATTTCAAAGTAGGAAGATATCCATTTATAACTAAAATACAGCAAGATCTCCCTCTTTAACTACAAAACAGGAATATCCACATCTGAAAGTACAAAACTGATAAAAAAAATTTTTTGCAGAGTATGACCTGAACTTAATATTTGGTGATTCACCCAGTCTAAGAAACCTAATAAATGAAATGGAAGATTTTAGTAGAGCAAGCTCAAACACTGGACAAATATTTTTGAGACCGACAGATCTGAACATCATTACCAAAAATGAAAGACTAAATCTTTTCATAAGTGTAGGTTTCAGTAAATGTAACATTTTAGATTGTAAGCAGTCGGTAACATAGTCAGTATAGAAATCATGTTGTTAGTGACATACTCTGGAGCCAAAAGCACATATTTTGCACGATGAAAGTACATATGATAAAAAATATATTCATTTCAATCACACATTTTTATCTTTAACGTTCTTAGCTATGTTATTAACTTTACCAAATTTCTCATCAGCCACTTTATTATTTTCTTTTAATCTAAATATGCTTAGAAATTTGCATTTTAGTAACATCTCACCTAAACATCGTAAAGACAACGTTATCCAAAAATGACTAAACAAGTAATGAAATGACTGTCATATGATTTGAAATGACATAAATGGTTATTTCCTCTACCAACTGGTGTCTAATCATCATATTAATCTAACATGAACTTTGTCGCACTCAAGTTTTGAACTTTTGTCAACACTTTCCTCAGCAGATAATGATGTAATTCAAAAAATTAATTACTGACCTTTAAACTGGGAAGTCTTATAGACTTTAGCATATTGATGCTAAATGCCACGCCCAAAATGTCTTGAAGAATCCATGAATAACTGGTCAGAACACAAAATATTGTTTCACTAGTCTAGCAGACACATAAGAGGTTTCTTCAAAAACATATAAATTATTTGTAATAACTTATGCTCAAAATATGAAAATTAAGATTGCTCATGTTTAAATTTCCCGTAATAGTACTTCTATGTTTTTGATTATCACATTATTTACACTTGAATTTTTTTTTAACAACTACCAAAAAGTTATAGTAAATGTGTACAAGCAATATAGTTACAAGAACAGTGCTTCATCAATGTAATGAACCACTACAAATCAAACTTCACAAACTGAAAGATGTCAATATCATTTTATTACAGTCATTCCACCATCAATGAAGTCTGAAAAAAGGTGTATTAATATATGCCTGTATTTAGCACTATTATTCTATAAAAAGATAATATTTCAATCAGTGATTTTCTAATCCTCCACCCTCCAATGTTTTGATAGTGAGTCTGATAGCAGATATCTGGTTTTATACTCTTGTTTGCACCTCAGCTGTAGCATAATGGGAAACATTTCATTAGGACCAGTTCTTCACAGTATGATTTTTAAACTTACAGTTGTCAGGGTTAACACGTTTTCATCAGAAAGAAATTCAAGAATAATTTCCAACATTTTTCAAGATTATTTTCATGAATTACAAGAATTATTTCCCAATTTTTATAGAATAAAATTGGTGATCAATAACTATATAAAATTATATTTAAAACTACAATCTACGATTGTCATTAATATAAGTTATTTATTTGCATAGGGTTAAGCATACAAAATAATTGTCATCATAAATTTAGCATTATTATTCTGTAAAAAAAAGGTAATATTTCAATCAATGATTTTCTAATCCCTCACCCTCTACAGGCTCAGTCAAATCAGACAAGTTCATGACACCAAATCGACCTTTATCATTTTAATACTATTACTTCTAATATGTTCTGTGTACTTCCATGAAATTTTGCAGGCTTTCAGTAAGCATTAAGTCTTTTGTAGACAAAAAAAAATCAGAATTTTTAAATAAGTATTTTCACTAAACATTTCTCTGTGAATATATGGAGTCAAGGTATTGACTGCTCTAAGTGCAAAGTGATCTGTGAATATATGGAGTCTAGGTATTGACTGCTCTAAGTGCAAAGTGATCTGTGAATATATGGAGTCTAGGTATTGACTGCTCTAAGTGCAAAGTGATTTTCATGGTAAGATTGAGAATACCTTTCTTCACCTGAAAATTGTCAAATTATAATTGCCCAATCTCTGATACCTCTTAATTAAATTTCACTATTTTTAGTAGAATTATACACTTTATCTGTTATTTTCACTACCCTAACTACACACGATGTTGCTTCATATTCACCATAAGAAAATAGGAAATAGATCTAAATTACCCTTTTTTTCTTTGTAGAATGACTTCAAAGTGTAACATGAGACTACATTTTTTTATCCTAAATAAGTTAAATTATGTAACAATATACATTGTTTATACTTAAATTTTATTGTTTTCTTGCCCCTGGAACCATGTCTAACTAATAATCCTGCCACACATGTTTTAAATCACTTGGAAAACATGTAGCTTATGTTCGAATTTCAAATTACATAAGGCACAGGCAACTCATGAGCTGCTTGCGAGTGCACCTTGTTAATTATGTTTTTATTATAATTTTTTTTATCTTGCTGATCTAACCTTATCTAATGTAATAAATTTCTAATCATTTAATTTTGGTTACTTTTATAGTAATAAATATAGAATACAAATGAAAAAACAAGAAATATAATACCATCATCTTTTGTTTTTGTTGTCGACTGTCGATGAAACTTAACCCTACTTTTACTTTTCTGTACTATAGGTACTACTACTACTACTACTCTAAATAATTTTTTATTTAATCAAATAATGCAACTAAGAACACAGAATAATAACACATAAAAAGCGGATAATATCTAATAACTATCATAATTTTCGTGTTTTTCCCACTATGAATAAGAGCCGTTAAAAATTAATCTAAGCTTGTCGATGTGTTTCCTTTGGGAATAAAATTTGAA